GGACATTGAAACAAGTGGAGATAACAAGTCCTTTCTCCGATCCCTTGGTTTCAAACACCATCTTTTCTTAGGCTCCTGACTCACCCAGAGTCAGAAGCACACACATCTTCATCACCTGCCTCATGTTTCGAGCAGACACTAGAGTTCAGGGCCCATGGCTCAGATTCTGTGTCTGAACCTGGGCTGGAACAGGTTAACAGAACAGATATAGCAGCTATTTTTCTTCCAGTGCATCCCTTCACCTGGCAGCTGTCACTCTTGGGAGTCCCCAGGCTTGGAGTTAGCCAATGCAATGGTAGCTCCTTAGCTGATACATCTTCCAAGGCTTAGTCATGTCCCTGTAAAAATATGTAACAGGCATCCACTCTCAATCCAAGGGTTCATTGAGAGAATTTGTGAGTTTTAAACTATAAGAGGCTGAATCTAAAAGAGGAAAATAAGGACAGCATCCATCCAGAATTCTTACTGCTTTTTCACAGCCCAAGAGAGAGAATATATGTTATTGCTGATCCAATGCTCTGAGAAACTCAACAACTTTTTCTTTACCTTCCAGAAAACCACCAAGTCTCATACAGCCCTGAGAGGATGGAGAAAGCCCATCTAAATGACAAGAAAGAGCAAATGAAACTCATATGGAGAGAGTGATGTCCTGAAGTGTCTGGGAAGGTTAAAGTCAGAGCCCTATCAAAGCCAAGTTTCCCAATTCTCTGGTATCTCAAAACGCCTCTAGAGACCACATGTCTCTAGGAAGGCATTTGTAGACTTGGATCTTATTATAAAGGAAACAAGAGACCAGAAAAGTCAGTGAACCTTATATTCCACAAGTCCTTTGCACAACCCACCTTTCCCCATTCTCTGTGTGTGCTTAGTGGTCACATACACAGAAGAGAAGAGAAAGAAGAGCAGAAAAGAAAGGCACTGTAAAATGTAAAGGAGTAGCCTTGAAAGCATTTTCTTGTTATCTCCTCAAATCTAAAAAACTGAGATAGATAGAGTAAAATAATTTCCTTCCCACCAAAAAAAATGTTTTTCTCTATTACTACAAAAAATTGAAAAAATAGATTAAGTTTGAAAGTTGCATAGCTACTTCCTGTCTTCTTCTCTCTGTGTTGTCTTATTTTCAGTGGAAGGAAGACCTTCCATAAGGGATCTGGACAAGGCCAAGAGTCACTGAATGTTGAAAGCTGTGCACAGACTGTTCTACTTATAACAAAGAAAGTAAAATATACCATTTGTCAGAGTTCATGCATAATTTCAGTATTGAATGTGAGCCAGCCATTCTTTCCCCAACTCATTAGGGATGTTATTGACAGACACAGCAGCACCCTCTTGTGATGAAATATGTGAATGCCTTCTTCACATCCCAGACAAGTCAGAAACCTACTTTGTGAAGATATGGAGAAGAATAGCTTATGTGTGCTTAATATGTAACAGAGAAGACAAGCAGTTTTGGTCAAAATGACTGCAGTGTGAGGAGAATGTTTGCAACATTAACAGAGTTTTTCCTTTTTCTTATTTTAAAAAAAAACACATGATCTTTCCTCCCTTCAGGCAGTTGGGTGATTCTCTACTCATCACTTCAATGAGAGAACATATGGCTAAAAAAAGAAAATAAAGATGCCTTTCTTACCATTTTGCTTCAAAGTTTCAGGCATATAGGCAAATGAAATGATCTACCATAAACTATAGATTAAGAAGATACAATGAAATAATACAAGTTTTCCCAACCAAGACAAAAACAAACCAAAACATTTTCTAAGTGGAGTAAGGGGGAGAGAAAAGTATCAAAGAAAAGTGGCTGAAGTGTGAATTAGGTCCTTTGGAAGGGTGCTGAACCTTATCCCTTTAAAGACATCATGGAAAGAAAACCAGAAGACCACAGGGCCACTTTCAGTTATTGAAAAAATCTCAGTGCATCCCTGTTTAACATTTTCCTCTTCATCTTTCCTTTGCTCTCTGAACTTGAGACTTTACTCCTGGATACACTAAAGTCAGCATAGCCTTACTCTGTTTACTTCCTCCCCCTTTTCTCTATGGTTCTAGAAAAAGATTAAGAAGAAAAAACAGCAGGAGCTGCTTCCTTGGTCAACCACTGACAGCCTCTGTGTGGTGGAGGGTCTTCCCTGAGAGAGCACCAGAACCTCAGAGGTCTCCTCCAGGCGGGGGTCTCCCTTTCCTGTCAGCTCCTTCTCAAGGAGCACTTTCCAGAACATCTTACTGTTTCTTCTCCTAGGTGGATCATGGACAGGGCAGCTCAGGCTCTGCAGCCCTCAGAGGCATCACTTGCCTAACAGAATACAGGCTCTCCTGACCAAGCCTCTCAGAGAAAGCCAGGCAGCCCATTGCCATCCCTCTCCACTCCACCACTGTTCTCCACTGTCCTTGTCTTCTGCTTAAGTAGATCAAAATCTGCTTCAGAAGCAGATATCCAAGGACAGAAGGACATGCAATTTTTCTATTTCTTCAGGTGACCTTTGCCTTTTCAAATAATTACTTTGGGGTATTAACATCTCAAGTGGCTTGTGGAGGAACAGGGTCACTGGTGACACTCACCTCTTGATTCCCCCATCCCTCACATCAGCCAAGAGGTTGAAGGTCCGAGGTTGCAGAGCCTGTTCAGTTGCTACTTCATAAATCCTAGAGTATCAGGCTATGAAAGTGGTGGATGCCTAATGCTTCTGGGTCCCCTCTTGGGATCCTACTGGCCACATTCATGATAATGTTAAATTCCCCACAGTACATCTAAATAGGAAAAAAATCTGTATGGTTCTATAAGTCACTCTTAGAGAACCAAACAGAAACCCTATAATTATAAGAAACCCTACCATTAAGGGTTTCTAATTATCCAAAAGAGAAAATAAAAATGTATACATATATAATCCAATAATTATGTTATATAAAACATAAGATATAGATTATAAATATATATGACAATAAAATATATTCCAATAATACTGGTAATATGAATTAATACTATATAGTGTCCTTAGGAATCTTTCTGGCAGCAGGCTGGGTAGGATTTGGCTACTCTTAGGTCCCTGTCGATATCACTATCCGACACAAAATCCCCATTCAAATGCATATTAGAAAATATTTTAGTTAAGTAATAATGACCATATGACATATCAAAACATGGGGAATATGGCTAAGGCAACATTTAGAGGCAAATTTGTGGATTTCAATGCATTTGTTAGGAAAGAAGAAAAGTTGAAAATCAATGGTCAAACTTGCAACCCAAAAAACTACAAAAAGTAGCTAGTAAAGCCAAAGAAAATAAAAGAAACATATAATAAAATGTGAACAGAAAAAATAAAACATAATTTATCAACAAGAGAAAAATCAAACATATAAAGAATCTCTTAGAGGTTAATTTAACTTAATCTATAATTTAATAAAGCTGTCTCATAAGTGAAATTTTATACTTGGATAGCTTCACTAGTGAATTTTCTGAAAAAAATTTAAAAATAAAAAAATCCTACACAGATTTTCTATAGATTAATAAGGAGAAATAAATTGCAACTCATTTGATGGCTCATTATAATATTGATAATAAAATCTGGCAGAGACATTGAAAAGAAAAAGTTGAATACCAGTGTTATTCAGGAACATGCAAGCAAAACCTCAACAAAATACTAGCAAAAAATGTTGCAATATGAAAAGGAAAATATAACATTACTAAGTGTATTTTATTCCAGAAATGAAGTTGGTTTAAAAATTAAAATTTAATATAATTTACAGCACTAATATACAATAATCCCAGCAGATAGAGAAAAAGTACTGATAATTTGATAAAATTTCTTTTATGTTTATTTATGATAACAACTCTCAATGAATTAGAAATCAGAAGGAGACTCTTTAATAATTAGATTACATAAAGGATATTTACCAGAAAAAGAACATTGTAACTAACAGTCACAGTGAAATTCTGAATGCTTCACTTTTGAGGTTAGAAATAAAGAGATTTCTAGTCAGTAAATGCTATAGGTGATGCTAGCCAGATAAGTAGAGCTTGCTAAGTAATTGGTGGGGCCCACCGAGAAATGAAAATGCAGGGCCCTGAGCAGGACAGTGAGGTCCAGGACTGCAGCCCAGACCTGTGGGGCACTGGGGGGAACAGAGAGCCTCTGGGCCAGTGAACACAGAGCAGTGTGGGAGAGCAGTGCCCCGAGAGGGCACAGAAGCTCCCTGTCCCTTCCTTATACCCTGCCCTGTGCATCTCTTCCATCCGGATGTTCACCTGTGTTCTTTAGTGTATTCTTTTGATAAAAATAAACTTTATTTTTTTTTAAAGGGAAGGGAGACTGATGAGAATCTCAGACTAGAAGAGAAGTGAAAAATATCGATTGGCTTTTATCAACACCAAAGTCACTGGTGTTAAAGTGAGGGCTTATGCTGGAGGGGTGCCACCAGAGGCCAGGTTCCAGTGGAGTGAGAAATGGGAGTTGAGAAAACAGAGACAAGTAGACAATTCTTTTACTTGCTTTAAAAATTAAGAAGAGAAATGTAGAAATGTGGCTGGTGGCAATGGAAACTTCAAGAAGACTATATTGAAATGGAAAACATTCACTTGTAGACATGTGACCAGATTATTATAAGAGAATCCAAAAAAATAAATTTTAGGGAATAATGTATTCCTATGCAGTCTCTTTTCAAGTGGCCCAAGATGAGAAACCAAGCCTGTCTGTATCACAGCTCGCCCATCTGAGTCTGTGTGAAGGATCCAGACTGGCCCAGGAAGATACATAAAGGGACTGTCTGGGATACCTGGACAGAATGAACAGTAATCTCTGCCATCTGGCTATGTCACAAGATTTCACTCTCCATATGACCACTCGGAAAGAAGTTCTGGGTGCTTAGTAAATACTTTACTGGACAGAATGAACAGTAATCTCTGCCATCTGGCTATATCACAAGATTTCACTCTCCATATGACCACTCGGAAAGAAGTTCTGGGTGCTAAGTAAATACTTTGTTGAGGAGGGAAAACAGCAGCGATGCCCTCATTCCAGAGGCTCAGCTGCAGGGTTTTGGTAGAGGGTGCAGGTGCCTGGGGAGCACTGTGCCTCCACAGCACAGAGGTAAGTGGCTGAGTCTTCAGATTTAGGGGTTTTGATGTGCAGAGAACTCCCCTTCTCTGATAGCATAGCCGTTAGTCTTTCATTCTTCTGTTCTTTCCCACTGGAATACAGGGTGAAGAGGACTTTGGGGCCTTTCCCAGGATCTTGCCTGTACCACTGCAGTGCTCTGAAATTGCTGACTGTGTAACTGCAGTTGAGGCTGACACTCTCTCGTTCCTGGATCCTCAGGGTCTGAGGACTTTGCTCCACCTGGTCTTCTCCACTCAACCCTGTTCAGGAAAACAAAATAAAAAATGAGACAAAGCTTTGAGTTCAGAGTTTTGAAAAATCCCTACAAGAAACTTGGGAGGAGCTGAGACTAAACCCCTGTCTTATCTTCCCACTTTTGGATAAATCGGTGCTTATAGTTCTCATCCCTGAACCTCTAACTTACAGCCAAGCTGAAGCCACAAGACTATGATTGCACACTCCAGCATGTTCTCCATCATGATATCTGTCTTGATACAACTTGTAATGACTCCAAAACTTCTCTTCTCTGAGGAGCTGTTTTTGTGTCTGATTCTTGTTCTCTCATGCTCAAGAGAGCCTCTCTGTTTGTGGGTGAGCCAATCAGAAGCAAATCCTCCAGTAACCATCCTGCTTTTGACATTGAAGGCATTCGTAGAATGAGAGGAATAGAACCACTGCCACCTCATGGTCACACAAACAATCACATGGTACCCACTTCATGCTACCTACAAAGAAAAAGATTGATGGAAGGACATTTTGGTATTTGGTGGTATAGATGAGTTTTAAAAAGTAATCAGAAAAGCCTTTTCTTACTTGCATTTTTAATTGTTTCATTGTTCCTATATAGCCTTTAAAAATGAACTACTAACAGGTTAAAAGAGTTGAACCCAAGTGTGGATATAACTGATTATGCTTCTTTTTATAATACACAAATGTCTCAACAGGTAAAATCTTAAAAGAACTAGAGTACTGAAAAAGAAATTAAATTGTTTGTGGATGTGTCTAGAAACCTCTTTGTCAGAAAATTGAGAACATAAGTTAACATCTATTTTTTTATTGTTTATTCTATTACAGTTATTCCAATTTTTTCTCTTTTGCCCTCCTCCACCCAGACCATCCATATTCCACAACCTCCTCTCTGTTGTCCATGTCCATGAGTCATTCACACATGTTCTTTGACTAAACCCCCTTCCCTCCATCATTTCTGTCCTCCTTCCTCCCCTCCTACAGCAATCAGTATGCTCCATGTTTTCATGCCTGTGGTTCTATTTTTCTCATTAGCTTATTTTGTTCATTAGATTGCACTTATAAGTGGGGTCATATGACATTTCCCTTTCACAGATTGGCTTATTTCACTTAGCATAATAGTCTCCAGTTCCATTCCTGCTGTTGTCTTATTCAACATACTACTGGAAGGTCTGGCCAGAGCAATCAGACAAGAAATAAAAAACATCCAAATTTGAAAGGAGGAAGTAAAACTGTCATTATTCACAGATGACATGATAGTGTACATAGAAAACCCAGTAGTCTCCACCAAAATATTACTTGACCTATGAAGTGAATTTGGCAAAGTAGCAAGATACAAAGTCAGTATTCATAAATAGGTGGCTTTCTTGTACACCAACAACGAATTATCAGAGAAAATAAGAAAAGGAATCTCATGTACTACAGCAACAAGAAAAATAAAATACCTAGGAATAAATTTAACCAAGGATATAAAAGACATGTACTTGGAAAACTGTAGAACACTGAAGAAAGAAATTGAGGAAGATACATAGAAATGGAGGCATATACTGTGTTCATGGATAGGAAGAATTAACATCATTAAAATGCCCATACTACCCAAAGGAATCTATAGATTCAATGTAATTCCTATTAAAACACCAATGGCATATTTCACAGATCTAGAAAAAATATTCCAAAACTTTATATGGAACCAAAAAAGACTCCAGATAGCCTCACCCTGAAAAAGAAGAACAAAGTAGGAAGGATCACAATACCTGATATCAAACTATAAACTATACTACAAGGACACTGTAATCAAGACAGTCTGGTACTGGCATAAGAGCAGACACATAGATCAATGGAACAGCATAGACAGCCCAGAAATAAACACATGTCTCTGTGGTCCATTATATTTGACAAAGGGGACACAAGCATACAATGGAGTAAAAACAGTCTCTTCAACAAATGGTGTTGGGAGAACTGGGCAAGTACATACAAAAAAATGAAATTAGACCACCAACTAACTCCACACACCAGAATAAACTCAAAATAGATAAAGGACTTACCTGTAAGTTGTGATACCATAGAAGAAATCCATTTCTTCAAACATCTTATGCCTGGCTACAGGGACCAAGTGTGACAGAAACCCAGCAACACAAACTTGACAGATCTTAGGAAGCTGGGAAAGAAGAGCATGCAGAAGGAAAATAACTCCATTTCTAGACTTCAGAGAGATGAGAAAATCACTGCAGGGGTTGACCAGTATCCATGCAAATCTAAACATTTTACATCATATAAATAACATACCATAGTAGTCTTCCCTCTTCATTTGACTTTTACCACCACAGTTCATTCACAGAAGCAAGTATTCTAACACACATGCACACACACTCATTATTTTCAACAAACTTATATTTTCCATTCTGTGCTGTGCTTTTTTCTTATGCAAAATGGCCACATGGCATAGCATTATATGGATATGCCAAATTTTACTTTAGCAGTTTTGTATTTTTTGAACTTTAGATGATTCTGATTTTTTACTACCACATATTATGCTAAAATTAATATCCTCATACAAAGATTTTTGCCAACACAAACATAAATTTTATTAAAAGTATAAAAACTATGAAAAACTATGCATTTTTCATTTAATGAGTATTGCCAAATGCCTCTAAATATGCAGTGTCAATGTACACATTTACAATGTGCCACAGTACTGGCTTCTCCACTCCCTTGCCAACACATTACATAAGCAAACTTCTCTAGCTTTCTTACTTCAATAGGTGAAACATGGTAATTCAGACTATCATTTTCAACTTCTGTATTGTCAGTAAAGCTGGTTTTTTAAAAATAATTTTAACTCTTTTTGCATGTACTTATTTAAAAGTCCTGTTCATAATTCTGCTTGTTAGTTTGGAGTCAGAATGACAGAGAGAATACTTTAGTCCTGTGGTTTATTTGCTGTGAGATTCTGAGCAAGTAGTTCCCTCAACTGAGTAATTCAGAAAGAATAGTACACACATTATAGAATTGCTGTATCATTTGAAATATATATTGAGACAGATAAATAGAGATCAGATGGATTAGATAGATACACTAGAAATGGCTGGAACATAACAAACATGATTACTGCCATTTTGAGAGAACATGGATGGACCTTGAGAGTATCATGCTAAGTGAAATAAGTCAGGCAGAAAAAGTTGAGAACCATAGGATTTCACTCTTATGTGGGATACAAAACTGAAAGCAAAAAACGAACAAACGAGCAAAACAAATTTGCCTTCATTTTTAAAGGATATTTTGTCTGGCAATAGAGTTCTAGATTGTCAATTATTTTCTTCCTTTTTAAGATTTTATTTATTCATTTATTTTTATAAAGAGGGAAAGGGAGAGACAAAAAGACGATGTGTAACAGAAACATCAATTGGTTGCCTCTCACACATGCCCAAACCAGGGGCCAGGCCTGCAACCCAGGCATGTGCCCTAACCAGGAATCAAACCAGTGAACTTTTGCTTTGCAGAACAACACTCAACCAACTGAGCCGTGGCAGCCTGGGTGGTAGTCAACTATTTTTCTTTCAGCATTTTAATTTATATTGTTTCATTGTCTTCTGGTTTCCTTTGTTTTGAATAAAAAAATCAGTCATTACTTGCATTATTGTTCCTGCATGCAGGTAATGTATCTGTCTTTTTCCAGTGACTACTTTTAAGATCTGATCTTTATTTCATTTTTTAACAGAATTTTGATCTAATAAGCCTTGATGTGGCCTTCTTTGTATTTGTCATACTTGAGATCATGCTGTTCTAAAAGAAGTAAAAAAAAGTGACACTAATTCCAATATGACAGCCCCATATTCATGACCTATGGTAATTTCCCCTCAAAGTTTCTGCCTCCAAATACCTTTACATTGGGAGTTAGCAATCCAACAAAGGAGTTGGGAATGGGTGGTAGGGGCATAAACATTTAGTCTGAAGCAGAGAGTGAGGCAGCCAATGTCAGATCCAGCACATCCCAGCAGGCAGAGGGCAAAAAGAGAAGTACTTAATCTTTCTCTCTTCCCACCCACAGATCTCTTGCCAGTTCTTATCAATGGATTAATACAGTTAAGATGCTAAAGAGCAAAGAAAACCTGGATGACTCCACCCACAGGGGCTGGACTACCAGGGCATAGAACAGGACAGACACATGGAGAGGAAGCCTGGATTGTTCCTGTCTCAATGAACTCCTCAGCCGAAGTACTAAGGTCAGTAAAAAGAATAAAAGAGAATTTTCTGTGGTTGCTTATTAGAATTGAGAGTTTATTCTATGGTTTGAAGCTTGGCCAATGTTCAGATGACTCTTATTTCCTGTGTAGTGCTATCATAGTTCAACTTTGAAATCCAGAAATAAGAGATTACCTAATTCATTTAGCTCCCAAGTTAATAATAGACAGTATGTATTTTTTCTCTTATGGACTGAATTGTGTCTTCCTGAAATTCCTATGATAAATCCCCAACTGCTCACATAACTATATTTGGAGGTACGGTTTGAAGGAGGTAGTTAAGGTGAAGCAAGTTCATAAGGAAGAGTTCTTAATTTCATAGGACAGGTGACCTCTTAAGAGAAAGACACTAGATCTCTCTCTATATATCACTCTCTGTCTCTGTGTGTGTGAGTGTACCTGTCTCTTTCTCTCCCCTTGTGTACAGAGAAAAGGCCATGTGAGAACACTGCAAGGAGGCAGCTGTCAATGAATCAGGAACAACAATCAGGAGAAACCACACTTGCTGGTATTTTGATCCTGGTCTTCTAGCCTCTAGAATGATGAAAGAATAAGTCTGAAGTATACTGTTATAGTTCCTATTCTCTTAGACTCTTTGTATTTCCTACTCAATAGATAAATATAGATCCTTCCTATGGAATAATCCATGATCTTTCTATAAATATCTTACTTGTTTTATAAGGAAATATATAATAATATTAAGATATTTTAGTTTAAACTAATATTTTAGTTTAAAGAGCTGAGATGGGTTAAAATCCTGGCCTCCTTTCAGATGAATTATCTTGGAACCTGAAGCCCAAACCCAGTGACTGAGCACATCATCCTCAGGATAAGGATCTGAGTGATGGCAGAAGAGACTGAACCTGCTGGGAGAGGATGCCCTAGACTCAGCCTTTCCAGACTGGCTGCCTCTCACCTAGTGAGGGGTGTGGACCAGAGGAGGGGATTCCTTCAGTGCCCTCACCTGTGAGTCTTTCCACAGCAGTGTTTCTTGAGCATCTGTATAGAATGATGAGTTAGTGTGAAGTTGGGTTGAATTTTCTGTAGTAAGGACTAAGCGTCTAAGAATTACCTGAGCTTGCTTCATTTCCTTGAAAAAACTCTAAAATAGAGTCATTCTGCTTAGGGAGAGAATATAACTCTCTCTCCCAGGGCTGCCCACAGCCAGTGCCCCACCTGCGTTCTTCTGGGTTTGTGCTCAGCTCCCCCTGCAGCCTCCAACGCTGTGTCACCCACAGCACAGTAGTACACCGCCGAGTCTGACATTTGCACTGAATGTTTTGTCAGGTGGAAGGAGCTGTTAGTCACCACCAGTTTGGCCTGAAAACCTCTGTTGCTGACATCCTGATTATCTGATGAGCTTCTCAAGAGGAGATCAGGCTCTTTTTTTGGATATTGGACATACCAGAAGAGAGAAACTGAATACCCATAGGTGGTCTGGTACTTGCAGCTCAGCGTCAAAGTTTTCCCCTCTGGGAGGGTAACAGGGCCTTCTGTCTGGTTCACTGAGTCTCCACTGGTCCCTCCTAAAATAAAAAGTAAAGGCTTTGTTATATCGGCAATGAAGAGGAATCATCTCCAGTTTGGTAAGCATCCTAAATCCAAGGAATAGAACACCTTAGAAATCCTGAGAAATGTTACTCACCCATCATCAACCAGATCATAAGTACCAAGCTAGAAGCAGACAGCATGGCTGGCAGAGAACCAGCAGCAGGTTTGGTTGGTAATACCACAGCTGAGAGGGCTGTTCCTCTACTTTTGTAATCCTTTGGTGAAACCTTCTAAAAATCTTGACTCGTGTGTTAGGGAAGATAAACTGCCCTGCAAGTTCATGTCACAGGCTATAAAAAGAGAGGCATGTTCAGAAATGGCAGATGTGTCAAACCAGCACCTAAGGGGAGCAGCGCCCTCTTGTGGTTTCTCCCTTGTCCTGCAGCCTTCCTCACACCTTTGAATTTGATATTTACCTTGGAATGGATCTTAAATTGTGGACAAAGAAGGGAAATAGGTATCTGGGATGAGAAGTAGAGCTCCAGGAAGGAAGCACCAAGCACCTTATGCAGACTTCCTGATGTATGAGGCTTAGACAGTGCGCTATTCCTCAGTCACTCTCTTTAAGATTCAGGGCAATAAGTGTCCCTGTAGTCTCCCTGGACCCAGAATCTAATGTCTGTTCCCCCTGAGTATTAAGGTAATTTTAGACATCTTAAGATATACTGAGAGTGGAATATAAACATGATCTGAGTTATCTTCTTGACATTCCTCCACTGGTCTGTGGAACTAGAAGATGAGCCCCTCTGCTTAGAATGTTCTCCCTTCTCTCCACTGCCCTTGCCTAGGCCACTTCTATTCATTCTTAAAATCCAACTTATACTCCGCATTCCTGTGAAAACACCCACCCAGCTCTTCATGCTGAGTGGGTGCTCCTCTCTTCTCCCACTTTACCTGTGACATATCATCACTGTCATTACTGTATGATATTAGAATCATCTGTGTCCTGTTTTTCATACTGGAGTTAGTGCCCTTGGGATCAGAAACTGTATCTTATGAGTCTCAGTAGCCAGTGCCTGAGATATACAAATGCTTTGTTCACCAATGATGTTCACAAAATATCTGAGGAATGTGTGAATACATGAATGAGTGGACATGTCTGGAGGGTACAATTATCTTTTTATGAAAGTCTAGTCTCCATGAGAGAATATGACCAGCTTCTTCAGGAGGCAGAGCCAGAACCTGGGTAGCAGGGACTTGTGATTTTTCTCAAAGTACAGGTCTTCATATTGAGGACAATGCTCATACTGACTATTTTTTAAGTTTTATGGTGCCTCATATACACAAAAAAGGTGTTAAACATCAAGGTTTTGGGTCCCCTCACAAGAAACAGATAGCTAATCCATCAGAAACTATACACTATTGTAATGAATCTGGGACAGACCCAGAGATGTGGTGAGAGGGCAGGGAAACACTTGCTCCAACTTCCCTGAAAACTGAACAGCATCTGCCCCAGGAGTTACCCAGGGTTCCCACTTTCTGGTTGCACCTGAGGCCCCCTCTGGCAGCAGGTGCTGGCAGTCCTCTGGAGTCATTCAATGAACCACTCTGGGCCCTGGGCTTATAGAAAGCTGACAGTGTAGAACAGTGGGGACCAGCCAAATGTGAAGGAGACAGCCAAAGACTGGATCAATTGTAGTCGTGAGCAGATTGCTTAGGGCCAGACTGGGACACCATCTGACACCCCCATGGATGGGTCCAGGAAGAAAAGGCAGTGGAAAACTCTTGATTCTACTGAGATAAATTCCACCACTGTCTTCTTCATTATTTGAATTATTTTCTCTCTTGCATAGCTTTTTAACATTCTTTTCCTTCAAGTTTGTGCCTATCATTTCACTAGTTTTTTTATTTTAGTTTATTTCAAATCTCATATTTTGCTCCTACCTTCTCTTGTTCCATTTTACCTTCTTCTTTGTTCTTCTTATTTTTGTTTTAAATTCTATTTTCTCTCTTGCTACAACTTGTTTCTATTCTGCACTTTTACTATTTCTCCTCCCTCCCACCTCTCAAAACCATTTTTTTGTCATTAGTGGTTTCGAATTCTTTTTCCCGTTCTTAAACTACCCTGATTCTCTCTCCACCTTCATCAATCTTTGCTCATTGGTTGTAGATAAGGTGGTTGTTGCTGCATTTCTTCAACTTCATTCCTAGATCTTCACTATTTTTGTATTTTACATCTCAAATTTTACCATTCCCTTCTCCTACTCAATTTTGCCTTCCTCCTGTCCTTTCTTTATGTTGTTTTAAATTTTACTTTTTTCTCATCTTAGCCTAGTTTTCATTCCTTTTTCTGAGTATTTCTTCTCCCTCTATCCTCTCAAAATCACTTTTCTTTCTCTAGAAATCTCATGAGCTTTATTTTTCTTCTTAGACCCATTCCACCAGTAATGATCTTTGCTCATTTGTTCTTGATATTGCTGTGGTGAATCTTTTTCTCCATTATGGTTTCTACTTTCTTCACTATTGTTTTTAAGTTTTCTTCTATTTTAAAACCCATACTATACTCTTCCCTTTTCTTACTCAATTTTGCCTTCTGCTTTTTATTATGGTGTAGTTTCTATTTTGTTTCTTTATTTGCTTTGTTTCTAATCCTTACTCTTATTATTTCTCCTCTATCTATCCTCTGAAATCATTTTTATTTCAGTTAGTCATCTCATATTCAATTTTCCTTTCTTATAATAGTCTTAATCTCTTTATACCCTTATTAATATTTGCTCATTTGCTATTGATAGCATGATTGTGGGTGGGGGTTATTTTTTCAGCTGTGGGGTTAGTTTCCTGGGTTGTTTTGCTTTGTTCTGGCACCACATGTACAAAAGCATACAAGACATGGTGGGCAGTGTGACTCTCAGGCAGCCTGCTGAAGGAAGAACCCACCAAAGAATGACCAAACATCAGCGAAATCCAATTAAAACAAGAGAGCCATCACATAAATGGCACACCAGGCATACTAATAGCTTTCAGCTCAGTAGATCAAGGAGAATCCCCACAGAGTGCACCACAGAGTCACACGGGTCTCCTACCACAGAAGGTCACACAACAAGGACAGAGAGTCCAAGAAGATCAATCTAATACATGGAAACAAACAAGAAGTCACCTGAAATGGGGACACAAAGAAACAATCCCCAATCCAAAGAAAAAAAGGAATCCCCAGAAAGAGTGCTAAATGAAATAGAGGCAAGAAATCTATCAGACATGTAATGTCTGATAGACATTACATCAAAATAATGGTTGGAAGCTCAGTGAGAACCAAAAGGAAGTCTATGGAAGCTACAAGGAACTTAGTGGGAGCTACATCAGCATGAAAAAGGCCATAGAAACTATGAATAAGAGACAGTAGGAAATGAAGAATACAGTATCTGAGATGAATAATACAATAGAAGGAACTCAAAACAGGCTAGATGAAGCAGAGGATCGAATCAGTGAGCGAGAAAACAAGGTAGAGGGAAAAAAACCAATGGAGCAACAAAATGAAGAAAGACTAAAAATAATTAATAGTGTCTAAAGGCATTTCAAGACAAGAGAAAACCTAGTAATATTCATATGCTAGAGATCAGAAGGAGAAGAAGAGGAGCAGAAAAGGAATGGAAAAAACTGTTTAAAAAAGCAATGGTAGAAAACTTTCCTAACTTGTTGAGGCAAAAAGTCACACAGCTCTAGGAAGCACAGGGGATCCCAATCAACACGAACCCAAAGAGGCTCACTCCAAGAGATATTATGGGAAAACTTTAAAGACCAAGAAAAACTGTTCAAGGAAACAAGGAAGAAATAGGTAGTAACATACAAGGGAACTTAGATGAGGCTATCAGCTGATTTCCAACAAAAACACTATAAGCCAGAACAGAATGACAAGAAGTATTCCAATTAATGAAAAGCAAAGGCCTGCAACCAATACTACTTTACCCAGCAAGGCTCTCATTTAAAATGGAAGGTGAAATAAGGAGTTTCCCAGACCAAAAAAAAAGGCCTAAAAGCCTACATCTCCTCCAAACCAGCCTTGCAAGAGACAGTAAGGGAACTGCTCTAAGAAGATAAAGAAAAAGAGGGAGAGAGTATGCAGGTACAAAGGGAAAAGCTTCAATGAATAAATACTCAACAATAACCTTAAATGTAAGTGGATTAAATTCCCCAATCAAAAGACAAAAAACTAAACATGACCCACATATATGCTGTCTTCAAGAGACCCATATCAGAACAAAAGACCTACACAGACTAAAACTGAAGGGATGGAAAAAAATACTTCGAGCAAATGGACACAAAAAAAGGCTGTGGTAGCAATAGTTACATCAGAAAAAATAGGCTTCAAACAAAGACAATAAAAAGAGACAAAGAAAGACACTACATAATACTCAAGGCAGTAGTCCATCAAGAAGATATAAGCATTATAAACATACATGAATTTGATGTAGGAGAACTTAAACATAAAAGAAAACTTTTCAAGTAAGATATCAACAGCAACATAATCATCACAGGGGATTTTAACATCCCATTGTTGACAATGGACAGATATTACAAGCAAAGAATCAACAAGGATATGGTGCAACTGAACAACACTAGATCAAATGGACTTAATTGATATATATATACATATATACATATATGAGCCTGCATATATACATATATACATTGCATGTACACACATAATGTACATAATTTGTGTATACATGCATATAAATGTGTGTATGCATGTAATTGATATATATACACATATTGCATGTATTTACACATATACACACATATAGAAAACTTCACCCCAAAGAAACAATATACACATTCTTTTCAAATGCACATGGAATATTTTCATAGAAAAACTTTACGGTAGGGCACAAAATAAGCCTCAAGACATTTAAGAATATTGAAATCATATTAAGCATCTTCTCAGATCACAATGACTTGAAACTAGAAACCAACCTCAAATTAAAAATTCAAATACATTCAATTCATGGAGACTGAATAACATGGTATTAAACAATGAATAGGTTAACAATGAGATGGAGAAAGAAATAAAAAAGTTTCTGGAATCAAATGAAAATGAACACACAGAAGCCCAAAACCAATGGGACACAGCAAAGGCAGTCCTGAGAGGGAACACATATCAATACAGGCCTACCTACAAAAGATAGATATAGTTCAAATAAACAATCTGACCCTACATCAGCTTTGCATGTTATTTTCAATATACCTACATATTATTTGCAGATAACATAGTAGTATACATAGAAGATCCTCTAGGCTCCACCAAAAACCTACTCAATCTAATAAGTGAATTTTGCAAAAAGATGGGACACAAAGTCAATATTAAAAAATAGAAGGTGTTTTTGAATAGCAATGAAGAAATATCAGAAACAGAAATTAGGAAAAACATCCCATACTATAGCAACAAGAAAAATAAAGTACCTAGGAATAAACTTAACCAAGGAGGTAAAAGACCTGTACTTGGAAAACTATAGAACACTGAGGAAAGAAAATGAGGAAGATACATATAAATGGAAGCATATCCCATATTCAGGAAAGTAGGAGGGATCACAGTACTTGGTATCAAACTATACTACAAGGGCACTGTAATCAAAACAGTCTGGTACTGGCATAACAACAGACACAAAGACAAATGGAATGGAATACAGAGCACAGAAATAAGCCCATAACTCTATGATCAATTAGTATTAGACAAAGAGGGCAGGAGCATAAAATTTAGTCAAAATAGCCTCTTAAATAGAGAGTGCTAGGAGATCTGGACAGGACATGCCCCCCTCAAAAATAGAAACCTGACCACCAACTTACCCCATAAACCAGAATAAACTCAGGGTGGATTAAAGACTTAAATATAAGTTGTGATACCATGGAAGTACTAGAGGAAGACATAGGCAGTAAAATTTCAGATATCTGACAGAGCAATATTTTTGCCAATATGTCTCTCAGGGCAAGGGGAAAAAAGTAAACAAATGTGACTACATCAAAGTAAAACCTTCTGCACAGCTAAAGAAACTATCATCAAAATGAAAAGGGAACTGACCATATGGAAAACCATATTTTCCATCAGACCTCAGACAACGGTTTGATCTCCAAAATATATAAAAAACTCATACGACTCAACACCAGGAAGACAAAATATCTTATTAAAAATGGGCAAAAGACCTGTATAGACACTTCTTCAAGGAGGACATACAGGTTGACCAGGACATAGGAAAGGATGCTCAATGTCACTAGCCATAAGAGAGATGCAAATTAAAACCACAATGAGATATCACCTCACACCAGTTGGAATAGCCATCATTAACAAGTCAACAAACAATAGGTGCTGTGAGGATGTAGAGAAAAGGGAATCCTAGTGCACTGGTGGTGGGAATACAGACTGGTACAGCCACTGTGGAGAACACTCTAGGATTTTCTTGAAAAATTAAATATGGGACTGCCTTTTGCCCAGTGATTCTACTGTTCTGATTATACTCTAAGAATTCTGAAACACCAATTAAAAAGAACCTACACACCCCTATGTCCATAGCAGCATTATTTACAATAGCCAAGTACTAGAAACAGCCTAAGTGCCCATCAGTAAATAAGTGGATAAAAAAACCATAGTACCTTTACACAATGGGATACTATGCAGCAGAAACAAAGAAGGAACTACTACTATTTGCAACAGCATGGATGTGACTGGAGAACATTATGGTACAAGAAATAAGCCAGGCATTGAAAGACAAATACCATATAATCCCACCTATAAGTGCATAAGGTCAGTAAAAATAATCTAAAAGAATTCTCCATGGTTTCTTATTAGAACTGGCTAATCTACTTTCTTATTCCTAAACTCTTTATTTTCTTACTCTCCAGACAATACATACCCTTCTTGTTGGAAGTATCCATGGTCTCTGCATACAGATCCTTCTTGTTTTACAGGGAAATATATAATAATATTAACATATGTTAGTTTAAAGAGTGAAGATGGGTCAAAATCCTGGCTTCCTTTCAGATGAATTATCTTGGTACCTGAAGCCCAAACCCAGTGACTGAGCACATCATCCTCAGGATAAGGACCTGGGTGATGGCAGAGGAGACTGAACATGCAGGGGGAGGAGGCCCTGGACTCAGCCTTTCCAGACTGGCTGCCTCCCACCTAGTGAGGGGTGTGGACCAGAGGAGGGGATTCCTTCAGTGGCCTGACCTATGACTCTTTCCACAGCAGTGTTTCCTGAGAAGTTGTATGGAGTGATGAGTTAGTGTGCAGTTGGGTTGAATTTTCTGTAGCAATGACCGAGCCAGAGGGGGCATGTCCATCTTAGCTGTGGACTTAGTTGTGCAGAACACTAAAGGCCAGATCCTAAGTCCCTCAGTTGGTTTGTGAATGTTTGCATGAAAAGCACAAGGTTACAGGGCCTTTCAATAATTAAATAGTTAAAATATCTTGGTAGAAATTCATCTCATGATACAGTTTTCCTATAAATGTTTTCTATGAGAGAATTGGAGTCTGGAGAAGAGAGAAGCCTTTCTGGCTGAGCCCTTATGGGGGTCCAAGTGTGGGTTCTGTTTAACACTGACATCCACCCCTCTTTACCTGCAGAGCAATTGCGAGCCTCTTAGGCTTCTATGAATAGTCTGAGCTTGGTTCATTTCTGTGAGAAAACTCTAAATAGAATCAAGCAGTTATATTCTCTCACTGCTTAGGGGGAGAATACAAGTTGCCTCCCGGGGCTGCCCACAGCCAGGCCCCACCTGCAGCCCACTGGGTTTGTGCTCAGCTCCCCCTGCAGCCTGTCCCACTGTGTCACCCACAGCACAGTAGTACACCGCTGAGTCTGACATTTGGAGTGATGATTTCTCTAGGTGGAAGGAGCTGGTCCTCTTCACAAGCTCAGCCTGAAACCCTTGATTCTCCACCTTCTGGTTCTCTGTTGAGCTCTTCAGTAGTAGCTTGGGACCTTTATTGAGGTACTGGACATACCAGGAAAGGGCAGGGTAGCTGCTCTGATAGGTGCAGTTCAGGGTCACACTTGTCCCCTCAAGCAGGGTAACAGGGCCTTCTGTCTGGATCACTGAGTCTCCACTGGTCTCTCCTAAAAAAGAATAACTTTGTTATGATAGAAATGTATAGGAAGAGTGTTCAGTGAAAGAGGAAAACTAAAAGTTATCTATAATTATAGGAAAATGAAAAATCATTAACATTTAAGATAAATTGTTACTTACTGAGTATTAAGATTACAAGAACAGAACAGGTGGCAGAAAGCATGTTGGCAGAAGAAAATGATCCTTGCTCCCTGGAATACACCGAATGCAATAAGGCTAGTCCCCAGCGGGCACTTACAGACACTTCTCACCCATAACTTAGACCTCCTTTCTTCACGACAGTCTTTTTTTGTTGCCACCAAGGCACCAGAGTCAAAGCACCACCTGAACACAACCAGAAACTGCATCAGTGGGAAACATCGCCCTCTTGTGGCTGTCCCTCAAATTACACCACAACCGTGTCCTGAACCTTATACCTCCTAATAACAGCTAGAGGATTAGCCATAGGAGAATGGGATTGAACTCTAAGAAGAAAGTACTAAACATTCAATCTGTAAGTTCATCAGTACTCTTAGGGGAATCTTTAATTATAACTTCTGCCATTTCTTCCATGAAGAGATCTAATGCTTCCCAGATAATCCCGGGCACAAGTTTTCAGTGGAATAGTCTGAGGTTCTTCATATGCAATATGTCCCCATGATTCTCATGAGCAGAGTGGGATCCCTCTGCTTAGAAACTGCTCCCTACTATCCTCCAGTTCTTTACCTGACTTAGTTTTATTCATCCCCCAAGATTCCATGCCATACAAGGAGCACTTTTTAATGCAGTTCTTCTCAAATAATCTGTGGTGGAATAACCAGTTTTTCCCCAGTCTTTCATGGACTGCTGCATTTGTAAAATGCAAATATAATAAATTACTGTGATTTCTGCTTCACTGGCAAAATTAGAGTACTATAGGAATTGACCTTCCAAACAGAAGGCAGGACAAAATAATGAAACAAGTTTTGGACATTGGACTACAGGTGGCACAGAGATAGATAAAAACAGTGAAGTGAGTCCTAACATATCCCCAGCTTGCTTCCTGAAGGCCTTTTCACTGCAGGGAGAGCATAGCAAAAATAACCCAGGGGTCTCACTGTGTTGTTGAGACACAGGACAAGTTTACAAATGTAGAAACACCTGGAATTTGTGGAACAGTGCACTAGAGAGGAGGGATCTTCTGAGAGAGAGCAAGATAGAGAGAGAGACAGACAGACAGAGAATATGAGAACTGCAAAAGCACACAGATCACTCTGAGTCTTTGGCTGAGTACTGATCTGCACTCAGGAGAGAGGACACTCACTGAGTGTGGTATCCCCTCCCTTTTGAAGTGGTCTCCTTAGGGGTTGCTGGACCATACTTGGATAGCAGCTGCCTTACACCTTTATTCTTTTGGGGGTCAGGTAAGCTTACTGAGGTAATCTGGTTTTTGAAACACAATCTTTTTAGTTCTGTCACATCATTGTTTTAATCCAATTAAGTATTTGCCATTAGAAAGCCAAGTTTTGCTGCTTAATATTATTGGGCCAGCTCTCTTCATTCCAGAGACATGCATGTGGTGCATAGCTGCCTCCTGTTTATTTGTTTTCTTAGGGAATGCAGGAATCCCAGCTAAGGTACTGCTTGTTCATTGTCAGCTGTTTACTTCCGTAGTTATTATTTGTGCTGCTAAAACAAACCCAACAGATTGAAAATGGCCATTTTTACAGCTTGTTGTTTGTCTGAGACTGGGTTTACTTTATGCAAGTTCTGATGGTGTAATAGCAAGAAAGCAAAGCATTGTTCCCTGCTTCCATTAACCATTTAAGACACTAGGCCCTTGTTAGCAGACCTCTGGGATGCTTTCCTACACAGACTCTTAGGGGCTCTGCTGTCCATATAGTAACAATGACTGGGAATAAGTCTGTGGAACACAAAGTTAGTTCTTTTCAAATGAAAAATATGCACTCTAAACAGATTTCCTCACCAAATTAAAATTAGCTCTTGTGGGAGCTACTTCTCACAAGTCCCCCCGAGTTCCACGGACACGAGTAAATATGGCTGAGACATGCTGGATCTGCTTAGGGAGGAGAAGTGGGCAGTGGCCAGTTGCTTAAAGGAGACAAAGGCCAGCAGTGGCCAATTTCTCTGAGGAGAAAAAGGCCAGGAGCCCCCTGCTCTCGGGCTTTTATTGGGTAATACACAGAAATACAGGGCAGCAAGGATCAAACAGTAGATAACATTTCAAAGAAATCTGAGGGCTTACTATGAGTCTGAGTCTGTCAGGAAAAGAGTTTTAAGGTTTCTTGCTCAAACCCTTAACATATGATTGAAAGCACTCTTAGGAGAGCAGATTTCACAGGTTTAACAGGAAATCTTTGTGATGCCAGGTTTTTGCACAGGACACGCTCTAGTAAGGCAAGGAGCTGCACCTCTCCCCATCAGGTATTCAGGCTTAAGGGGATTAGAGCCAGGAAGTGCTTCTCCCAGAGAACATGGGGACTCGGGCTTTGTCAAAGCCTGGGGGCGAGAGTCCATTGCTCTTTGTTGCAGCCCCCCAAGTCCTTCCATGAAGGCCTCCCAAGGGATTGAGTCTGGCTTAGGTTGCCCACCACTGTGAGGGGTCTAACCCATCATTGACTTCCGACCAAGCTTTCAGAGCAGGAAGAGGAAACTGAGGCAGTGTTTGCTACCAGAGACGATCTTTGTCTCCTGCGGCTGGCATTCCAGAGGTCGTCCCTCACCGTTAGTTAGAAGGGATCGAGATACAATTCCTAAAACCAGGCAGAGTGGTCTACAACAAGCTCTAACTGTCACAAATACTCAGTTCACGAGTAGGGTCAGCATGTTGGCAAGCATCTCTGGCTGAGCAGATCACCTGGCTGTCCTTCCACTACTGTGCATATTTGGAAACTCTAAAGCACAAACATTATTCTGGAGATTCACAGACTTACCCATTAAACGTGTAAACCCCTTTTAGTCTCTAGGCCTTCTCACTCCATTTCATTTATTGTAGTTGATTGTTGGAGAAATCAGGTTTGTCCTGTGAGTTTTTCATACACTGCATTTTGCTTATTGTATAATTCTGATGATCTTAACCTGTTCCTGCAATCCTTTACAGGTATTGCCTTAAATTGGTGATTACACCAAAAGGGAAATTTTTTTTCAAATCTAGTAAACAACAAAAAATAATTTTTTCACTTCTTTAGGAAGCTCCTCAAACTGAGTTAGTATTTCACACCCAGCTAATCTGTTTCTTTCTCTCCAGATATGCTGAGGACTAGAGATTGTAGAGCGATGATGGTGTGGAACACAGGGGTTCCACCCCACTTCACAGAACAGGACTGTTCACACCTGAGGACATATGACACTGGCGGGCAATTTTGTCTTTTGTCAAAGAAAAGAAAACTTTCATTATGAAGTCAAATGCGAGGGTTGTTTAAAGATGACATGAGAGGTGGACACTAAACTGTTCAACATACATCCCATTGTCTGGAATAAAAAGAGAGTAAGGGCAAATGCAGTAGCTGATGTAGGCCATGGACAGGTTGCACTGGGTGACACACTGAACACAACTGCTGCATGTAGCACAAGATGTGCCATAAAGGATGAGGTACAGAGCTTTTTTGTATCACATGTCATATGTACTTGATATCTACCTAATTCCCTCTTTAAAAACAATGCAGTAGATCAGGCTCAGAACAGAAATTGTGTAGTCTAAACTTTTCAGGAAAATGGACAGTGCAGTGAGTGACCATGAGGTTTTTGTTTATCTATGGAAATGTTTAAGTTTGTGTTACTTTATTTGATTTGGGTCAAACTCTAGCCAAGAGCACTGGTATAACTTTGCAGAAGGGATAGCATGTGCTGGAGCAGAGGCTCTGAGATGTGGGGGACAGCTCAGGTAATTCCAGGGAACACCTGAAGAGGGAGGATTGTGAAAAAGCAGCAGGGCTGGAGCCTGATGGCTGCAATCTGCCACCTTATTCATGGGCCCATTTCAGGGGCTACTCAGAGAGCCCCAGCTGTCCTGTGGGCTGTGGCAGCTGTACACCCTCAGCTCCTCACCCATAGGCTCTTTGCACTATTGCTTCTGTCTCAGCCTGTCCATAGCTAGTAAGCTTGCAGCCTGACTTGGGGGGAACTTAAGGACTCAGGGACAAAGCCTCAATATTTGAATCACCTTTCAGGGCTCCACTCTACTTGGGAGAAACCTTGATTTTGAAACATCCCTTTCCTTCACCCCTCTGTTACTGAGGATCACTGCTGCTTAAGACTTGCAGGTTTTTAAAAATATTTGGATGTCCCCACTCATTTTCATTCTGTTCATGGCACCTGTGAACTTTAGCACTTGAAACCCCACTCTAGACCAAACTCTCTGATATCAAATGATCTCACCCTCTTAGATCCTCTAGGGTTGGGTGAATAATTTTTATTTTACAAGGGATGTTGGACAACCCTGTAACTCCAAATTTGTCTCTCAACCTGCCTAGAACTTCACAGGAACAGTTGTGTCATCTGGAGTTCCAGCCAGCAGGTCCCATTTTAGGGTCATCTTATGCTTGGCAAAACAGAATTTTCTACATTTCCCAATTCTGTAAAACTGAGACGAGAAAGTGTGTCTTTCTTTGTGAAAGAAAGCATAGCATGAATCGCAAATAACAACTTTTACTATGAGTTTGGACCTGTTCACCCCCCCCTTCTGTATTTGGCTCCACCCCCTCTCCTGCCCAGAGAGCAGTAGCTCCCATGTTGTAAGGAGGTGACTTCCCAAGTCACTGTCTTTTCCCCTGCTCCCCTTGGCCCCTTGGTGTTACCAGGACATTATCACCCTGGTAATGTGTGGAGCACCATAGCACCTTTTAGAACACCTGAGAGTCTTTTTCTAAATAAAGGGGTACAGAAACTCAAAACTAACAGTTCACTAAGTGTGCCTGTGAGGCTAGTAATATTTGGAACAGTTGTCAACAGCTACTTCCTAATCAAACCTCTTCATGTTACAGATGAAGGAACAGATTCAGAGAAGTTAACTACTTGCTTAAGGTTACATAGGTCACTTGTGTGATAAGCTCTAAAATCTCATCAGTGTTCTTTGTGCCTGCTATTTGATACAGGACATCACTGGAACGTGGACTCTCCATAAAGGCAGAAATCACCTCAGCCTTGCTACCTAATGTTGCCCAAATCTTACCATAAAACGAAATGTCTTTTCAACTAATGAATAGACTTAAGTTTATCAAAGTGGAGTACATGTTGTATGGATGAAATATCAGGTGTGAAATAGTCATAGTTAAATGACATATTAATTCAGACCTGTTTGTCTTGAGGATTAGCTTGTATATTATGACCAATAATTTATATTTTTACTTTTAGGTTAATTCATATTGTGTATGGTAAACCTGCAGCATTTTTAAATAAAATGAGAGTAAATTAAAGTCATTATGTACTCAAGTGGAACTTTTGACCTCTACCCCCAGACTCTCATGTTGCTAGAGCTTTTCCCAAAGAAGCTAGAAATCCAGTTTTTAATGTGATGTCTGACTTTTAAATGTTGGCAATTAACTCAGAGATTTTTAAACACTAATGTGGAACAAAAAGTAAAAATCTTTGCTCCTCAGCACCTATTGTAACATCTGTTAAAAACAACATATGTTTGCACAGGAAGCAGACACTGGACAATCACAGATGGGCCCTGGTTGCCATGCAGCTGTCATTCTGGCCCTGGCACCTGGGTGTGGGGTTCAGGTGAGGGGGAAGGGAAGGCAAGAGACTCGACAGGTTAGGACAGATTCCCATTTTGAACATCTTTTCTATATACAGCTTCCACATGAGAGAGGGACACAATCTGGTGTTTTTATAAAAAAAACCATGATTATCCAGCCAAGATTGAGGCATAGGTGGAAACATTGTGCCTCCTCACACAACCAAGGTTCAAGACAACAAAGTTTTAGTAACAAAAATACAACACACAAAAAATTGAACTGTAGAGAAGTCCTACAACAATGAACCATTCATCCAAACAAGTAAGAGGGGTGGAGTCAGTGGTTGGTGGAGTGGGCTCACTTAGGAAAAAGTGAACAGCCCGACCCAGGCCCACAGGCAGCATTGGGCAGATCCCAGGTGTGGGGTGGCAACAGACAGACGCAGTGAGGGCACAAGGCGGCTGGCTGACCACGGTTACACATTCACACTCAGATAAACCAGGTGAAGGAGCAAGCAGTGAGGCAGACCATGCAGGCTAGGGCCCAAGCAATGAGAATTAAAGCTTAAAAGCACCAATTGGAAAAACTTTTGGAGTCGAGGTGCCAAGAGAGAGGCTCCCATCCTCACGGAGAGTTTGTTGGAGAGACCCACAGGGTCCTGGAGGGTGTACAGGCCCACACACCTGGAAGCCGGCACCAGGGGGGCCAGATTTGCTTGTGGGAAGCAGCAGAGGGGACCAAAATCCAAGAGAGAGGGGCACAAACACCCCTTTCTGACCCCACCCCCACATACAGCATCACAACCCAGGAACTGGGTGGCCCCACCCTGATGAACACCTATGGCTCTGCCCCTCATATGTAACAGGTGCAGACAGACCAAAACATTATGGCTCAAGAAGAACAGTTCAAAGCCCCAGAGCCAATACTTCTAAGTGACCAAGAAATAGCCCAGTTCAAAACACAGGTGATCAGGATGCTCACAGAACTAGTTTAGTTTAGTCACAAATTAGAGGAACAAATGAAGGCTAAACTAATTGAAATGAAGTGAAATGCATGGGGAACCAATAGTGATGGAAAGGAAACTGGGACTCAAATCAAGGGAGTGGACCAGAAAGAAGAAAGAAACAACCAAACAGAAAAGAATAAAGAAACACAAATTCAAAAAAATGAGAAGGATCCTCATTTTGTTGCTTAGGAACCCCCAGGACATCTTCAAATGTTCCAACATCCAAATTATAGGAGTACCAGAAGGGGAAGAGGAACAGCAACAAGTGGAAAACTTATTTGAACAAATAATAAAGAAAAACTTCCCCAATCTGACAAAGAAAGTAGACTTCCAGGAAGACCAGGAAGCTCAGAGAGTCCCAAAGAAGTTGGACCCAAGGACAAACACACCAAGGCACATCATAATTACATTAGCCAAGATTAAAATGAAGGAGAGAATCCTAGAAGCAGCAAGAGATAAGGGTACGGTCACCTACAAAGGAGTTCCCATCAGACTGTCAGCTGATTTCTCAAAAGAGACCTTACAGGCAAGAAGGGGCTGGAAAGAGGTATTCCAAGTCATGAAATCCAAAGACCTACATTCAAGATTGCTCTATCCAGCTAAGCTTTCAATTAGAATGGAAGGGCAGATAAAGTGCTTCTCAGATAAGGTCAAATTCAAGTTCATCATCACCAAGCCCTTATTATAAGAAATGTTAAAGGGACTTATCTAAGAATAAGAAGATAAAAAATATGAACAGTGAAAGGACAGCAAACTCACAGTTATTAACAGCCACACCTAAAACAAAAGCAAACTAAGAGGACAGCTAGATCAGGAGCAAAAGCATAGAAATGGAGATCATGTGGAGGGTTAGCAACAGGGGAGTGGGAAAAGGAGAAGGGGGGAGAAAGTACAGACAATAAGTAGCATAGACAGTAGGCAGAAAATAGACAGGGGGGAGGGCAAGAATAGTAGGGGAAATATAGAATCTGAAGAACTTGAGACACATGGACATAAAGTAAAGGGGGGAATGGTGGGGCGGGGGGTGTGCAGGGTGGAGGGAAATGAAGGGGGAAATGGGACAACTGTAATGTCATAATCAATAAAATATATTAAAAAGAAAATAAATAAATAAATACAACAGCTTCAAGAGGCAAAAAACAAACAAACAAATAAACAAACAAACAAGAAAACCCCACATGATCAGGTCACAAAAAGAGAGGATCCAAAGAAAGGTAGTTTGAGGAACATTTCAAGTCTATCCTCTTGTGTGAGAAATCATTAGTTTGATTATAGGAAGAAATCTAAATTACATAATTTATTCTACCTCAGAGAGTAATGGTATGTTTTTAAGAAAAATCAGTGAAAACAATTTTTATTATAAATAAATTAAACCATTTGAAATAATAATGGATTCATAAATGTATCAATGATTCTGAAGAGTTAACAGTGCCAACAATGGAGTCACTTATTTTGTCTAAAGATAATTAGATTATTGTTCCATCTCAATAAAATCAACAAGAGACTGATAGATTTTCTTGTTGCCCTTTTTGGTTTTATAAAATTTTATATGCTACATATTCTATCTTAATCTATTCTAAACAATGGGAGATGCATTTGCTTTCACTGAAGGACATATCTGGACATTCTGAAGGAATTGAATGAAGGTTTCACCAAACCCCCACCTGTGCTGGCACAGTCCCTGCTTCACCCTGTCTGTGATGGAGTCTCTCTCTCCCCAGGGACCCTATCTCATGTGGACAATTTTGTGGGGCTCCCACAGGCTCCAAGCACAGAAACACATGACTGAATCTCCAAGCCATGAGTCTGTGATGGTAAGATGGATGAAACTGTCTGGTTTCTGAAAGTTCAAAGAATATCAACTCTCTGATGTTGGGGTTTTTCCCATTGTATGACTCCTGATGAATAAGAAAAGTCATTTTCCCACTTAATGGTGGTTTGTACCAGAATAAATAATACTGTAACTGCTAGTTTCATATATACAAACAAGGATACAGCCTTTACCACAGAAACTGCAGATTGGACTTTTTTCTGGTTCATGCTGGACCAGGCAGGAAATAAAAGAGAAATAGACTGTCACCCTGAGGGAATAGGGATGAAGTGGCTTAGAAGCCAGCTCTTTGGTCCTATTTCCCATTATCTTCACTTTTAAGCCTCATTAGACAAAAGTGATCTGCTTCTCCCCACAGCCTGTGGCACTGGGAGGAGCTGGAGCCCTGTGTCTATGACCATCCTCACCTAGACCGTCCTCACCTAGACCAGATAGAAGCTATGACTGCCTTCAGCACACTGGCAATCAACATATTGGTAGCTCTTCTCTTGAGTGAAATTCCTATATTTTGACTAAAACACAGATCTTAATTTTGTACCCTGTGCTGAAGAGGTATAAGTGAAATTACTGCACTGTGTGATGCTCTGCCCCTGTACAGGAAATAGAATTAGTAAACATGGGACAAGTTTGCCTGTGTTGTGTCTCATGCTTCCTCTACTAGTGGGATATGATAGACACCTGAGCTAGACTATTTTGTCTAATTATAACTTATCAGACTGGAAATAAACAGTAGAGAAGTGGAATTCTGTTCAGTTAATTCCTCCTTGATAGAAAATGTGGGACTTTTAAAGAATGCAGTTTATTATGAACTACAGTGAATACACTGGATAACATAGTTATGTATGTACCTTTAGGTCTTACATAAGCTTCCTTTTCTCTCAAGAAAATCAACGTGAAAAGTAAGCATTGAGTTTTAACTTTCTAACAAGAAAGTTAACGACTAAAAGCAAAGAAAGCTTTTAGTCTCAGTCTTTGTTTCCACCTTGCATGGAATCCAGTAAAATTTACATGAGAAATATTTTGTAGTTAATGAATGATTTCACACAGGCCTCTGAGTCACAAAATGTGGCATGTGTGTGCCATGTTCAGTAACAGAAGGGAGAAAACAAACATTGTGTGTAAACAGAAACTGAGCAAATTCTACCCAGTGCCTAAGTACAGGGATTACTGTTAGATATCAATACATGTATTTCTGAAAATCCTCTTGTGATTCCAAACCACACATATTAATTATGGTGAAAATTGGCATAGGGAAAATCCTTAGACTATACATCTTTGTAAACAGAGCATTATATAAAAATAAAATCCTATTAAAAGTCCCAGCAACATTCAATAACCTGTGGCATTTCTCCCTTGCATCATAGCCAGTAAATCTTTGTAGCCTTGAACATCAGAACTTGTGTTTCTCTTCTTCAGTTACAGGTTCATGAGAATATGTACTTCCAAGAGGACAAGATTCATCAAATTTTTAAATGTAATTGTTCTTCATAAATTGATATGTTAAGATCAGAATTGGGGACAGCCCCAGAGTCATTTTCCCTTCCTCTCAGTTTCACCTGGTTGCTTGCCTTGAAAACTCTGGGAATTCTTGACACACTGAAACAAACTCTGCTTGCATTAAAGTAGACTTGAGGCATTTTTATAATGAGAAACTTTTCCTGATAGTTCTTTGGTTTAGCATAAATTATTAATGTGCTTAGAAAAGTCACAGAGAATCAGTGAAACTTCCACAGCATGTTGACATCATACTTGTATTTACTAACTGGGTAAAAGTGGTTTTAATGGGATACACACAGTAGCAGAACAGAAAAACCATGTCCTTCACTCTGGGTTAGTAGACATGTTTGCCATAATAAGTATTTTTGTTTGTATTTAGAAAGTATAGTCTCCACTTCCCTGCCAAATACCTGTATGTCTCCTGAGAACAGCCAGGGAAGCTCCCAGGGGCTCCCAGAATAGCCAGGCTGCTCCCCTGCAGCCCTGTGTGAGCCCCTCTGGGTTTGTGCTCAGCTCCCCCTGTGGACTCCCACACTGTGTCACTCAGAGCACAGAAGTACACCGCTGAGTCTGACATTTGCACTGACGGTGCCTGCAGGTGGAAGGATTTCTCAGTCTTCACCAGTTTGGCCTGAAAACCTCTGTTGTGGACCTCCTGATTATCCGGAGAGCTTTTCAGGAGGAGAACAGGCTCTTTGTTTTGATACTGGACATACCAGAAAAGATATTCTGCAGTGATGTAGGTAGTCTTGTAAGTACAGCTCAGCGTCAAATTTTTCCCCTCTGGGAGGGTAACAGGGCCTTCTGTCTGGTTCACTGAGTCTCCACTGGTCCCTCCTAAAAATAAAGTAAAGGCTTTGTTATATTGGCAATGAAGAGGGATAGTCTCCAGTTACGTTGGGATGAAAAGTTCTCCTAAAAATAAGAAATAAAACACCTTAGAAATCCCAAGAAATGTTACTTACCCAACATCAACAAGATTCCAAGTCCCAAGCAGAAAGGAGACAGCATGGCTGGCAGAGAATCAACACAGGTTTGGTTGGTAATACCACAGCAAAGAGAGCTTTCCTCTACTTTCTTAATTTGAGGGGGGGGGGGGGGGAATCTTCTAGAAAATCTTGACTCATGTGTTAAGCAAGACAAACTGCCCTCAATTTCTTGTCACAGCCCCTAAAAAAGAGAAACGTGATCAGAAATGGAAGGTGAGTCAAACCAGCACCCAAGGGGAACAGCGCCCTCTTGTGGTTTTTACTCTGTCCTGCAGTTTTCCTCACTCCTCTGAATTTGATATTTACCTTGGAATGGAGCTTAAATTGTTGACCAGGACTAGAGCTAAGTGTCTGAGGTGAGAGTAAAAGCTCCAGGAATGAAGCACCAAGCACCTTCTGCAGACTTCATGGTGGTGTAATGAGACTTAGATAGTGCACAATTCCTCAGTCACTCTCTTTATGATTCGGGGCAATATGGCTCGCTGAAGTCTCCCTAGACCCAGCATCTAATGTGTATTCATACTTAGTATTGTTAGTTTCATACATTACAGGGTGTACTGAGAGTGGGAAAAAGGTATTATCTGAGTTCTCATCTTGATATAGTCCACCACTGCTTCCTTGAAACCAGGGGATGAGCCCTTCTGCTTAGAATGTTTTTCCATCTCTCCACTACCCTTGCCTAAGTCACTTCTATTCATTTTTTAAGATCCAATTTACATGCTACCTTTTGTGAAAGCACCCACCCAGCTCTTCTGGTTGAGTTAGTGCTCCTCATTTTACCACTTTACATGTGAGATATCATCACTGCCATTACTGTATGATATTAGAACCATCTGTGTCCTGTTTTTCATACTGGAGTTGGTGCCCTTGTGGTCAGAAACTGAATCTTATGAATCTCAGTAGCCAGTTCCTGAGATATATAGATACTTTGTTCACCAATGATGTTCACAAAATATCTGAGGAGTGAGTGAATACATGAATGAGTGGACATGTCCAGAGGGTATAATTATCTTTTTAGAAAGTCTAGTCTCCATGATAGCATATGACCAGCTTCTTCCACAGAGCCAGGACCTGAGTAACAGGAGCATGCAATGTTTCTCAAAGTATAGATCTTCATACAGAGGGCAATTCTTATACTCAATATTTTAAAAATTGTATGGTGCCTTATATATACAAAATAAGAGTTAAATACAAACTTTTTAGACTCACAGGTTTCACAACAAACCAAAAATGCCAAATCAAAATATCCTCATGTAATTCCTGTCCCCCAGGGTATCCCAAACATTTTTTATAAAGGGTCAAATAATAAATACTTTAAGTTTGAAGTCATGGTGTTTGTTGCAAGTACCCAATTATGCTGTTACAGCACAAAGCCACCACCTTCAATGCATAAATAAGTGGGCAAGGCTAATTTTCAGTAAAACTTTATTTTTAAAAATAGATGGCAGGCAGCTTTAATCTGCCCTGCCATCTACCTTGCAAACCCCTCCTACACCCCGAGAATTTATCTGTAAACCTCAAGAGATCCATGGATTCCAGTCTGAGAAACTCAGCCATATTTTGTTTGTACTGTTTCAATAATGTTGTCATAGCTCTTTGAGAAGTCTTAAAATATAGGATGTATTTTAAATGAGTTACTGAATAAAAAGAATGAAAAGGGAGATGATAATTCTAATGCCTAAGATATTTTGTGCTCAGGATTCAAAGGCAAGAAACACAGATCTGTTCTCACAGAGCTCACAGACTAGCAGTGAAAATAGATTTTAATTAAATAATCAATAAATACAGGAAAAACTGCAAGTTTGAAAAGGCAGCTGTGATTCTAAGTATGCACATTGAGCTTTATTTCAGTTACTGAACTTTGGACAGATGTACAGAAAAGGCTTATAAGAGGAACAGAGTACTTTCAAGAAAATAATACCAATATTATTGAGGAGAGGAGTGAGAGATTAGGAGAATATTTGTAGAATAAAGCTGAAAAAGTAGCAAGATCATAAATTATTCAAGATTTTGTAGGTCATACCAAAGCCTTTTTCTTTATTGTAAGAGTAAATGGGGATTGAGGTGATTGCAGGGTCAGATTGGCACTGACAAGTTCACTGTCATTGTAGCAGTAAGGACTGCAATGAGGGGTGATGGGGCATGTCAAGTGGGCTGGGGAGCAAAATATTCAGAAGGATTTGTATTTAGAATTGTGGAGGTGAATTGGGCTGTGGAGGTTGTGATATATACTGGATGACTTTTAGGAGGCAAATTCAATGGGATAGAAAGTTAGATTTGATATGATGTTTTAAAAACAAATAACTGAATTTAAAAATGTGAGTCCTACTATACCCTCAACTGACGTTATGGCAGAAGCTGTTATTTTTCCATATAGTGCCCATTCTCTCCTACTTCTTCCTAACAGCAACACAATTTTAATGTGAATGTCAACATTTCGAGATTAAAAATTATTTTGATAGTCCTGTCTCCCTTGCAGATGGCAGTGGTGTAGAGATATTAGATAGTGCTCTAGAAGTAGAAGTAGGAACTTTTGGATGGAGTTTCTGGAAATGATTGACTCAGGCAGCATGTAGCCCATTGTCCTTTGACTTTTTCTTTCCTCCTTGGAGGACGTACAGAGTGATGGATCTCTGGCAGTTTCTTGAAAGTATGAAAACAAGAATGACTGCTTAAGGACCAGAGACTCTCAATCCATCATAACATGATAAAGTGAGCATACAGCCCTGGACTACATGTTATAGAGCTTCTTGGTGTGAGAGAAAAGTCCACTTGTTAAAAAACATTATTTGGTTTCTCTGTAACATGAGTTGAACCAATCTCTAACTGATAGAGATGATGTTCATTAAAAATACAAATTCCTCATTTTATCAGAGACTGACTGAGTAATCCAGGATAGATCCTAACAATCCAGACCTTCAGAGGGGCTCTAGGTGACTCATACACAGGTGATGTTGCTGGTGTAAGGTCTGGCATGTGGCCACCACAGCCCTGTGCAAACTTTCCTCCCCCACCTCTTTCACCAAACATGCACATCAATACAAGTGCCCAATTTTCTCCACAAACACATTTTTGTAGTATCAAAACTATATCAAGAAAACTATATTCCACATATATTTATCAAACTAGGAGCAAGAATGAATGGGTGCAAAACTGTTATGTATTTGATAACAGAAGTACCCACTTTCAAAAAACATCTTAGGAAGTGGTAGTGGAGAGCATACCTCTGTCAATTATATGGGGGAAATTATAGAACTTGAGGCTGAAATCACACAACTGTTCACTGACAGAATCAGATTCTGATCTTTGTGTTTATTACACAATGTTTCCATTGCTCAGCTTTAAAGTAAAAGGTTTGGTAGAAAGAGTCCTGAGATCTTTTGCAATTCTAATGCCTGATGAATCTACTATTTCCTACACAGTCTAGAAGAATTGCTCTTAAGTGGTTTATAAGTGTTTTAAAAATAGATTTTAAGATACTGTATGCATAAAATAGAGAGATATGGGGAAGAGGAAAAGAAAGAAACTTTTGCTTCTTTCATTGACAAAGGTCAAAAAAGGAAGAGAATGATGGTTGGAGCAATGTATGGAGTAAAGAGTGCTTGGAGATAAGCCTGGAAGATGACTTGAGTTGGATGTCTGCAAAAATAAATGTGGATGTGGGACATCAGGAAACAAAGAAATATTAAAACTTTTTGAGCAAAGAACTGATGTTATTTAAGACAACTATTTAAGAAGTTTACCTTTTACTCTGTCTGTTCTCTTCTACATAATTTTGAAGAGCTTCTGTGGAAATTTATAATAGTAGTTAGAAGATATCACCTACCTCCAAGAAAGTAAAGGTCTTATTCACTGTCTCACAACAAAGAGGGGAAAAACCTTGTTGCCTTTTACATGTACGCATTTGGACATACATATAAAATGTATGAGGTCTGTCTGGAAGTTATCCAGCCATGTAGTATAAAAAATAGAGACATTTATTGAAAAAGATACAAGATATGAGAAACATTATACATAGGACAATGATGCCTCAGCACTTTTCAAAGTAGGCACCTCACACACTTCTTCCAGTGTCTCTAAACTGTTCAAAACCCTCTGCAAAATCCTTTGTGTAATCACCATCAGCAATTCCGCATCCCCACCTCACCCCAGTCATATTTTCCTGAGTCTCATCAATGGTCTGAAATCTCTTCCCTTTCAAAGGTGATTTTAGTTTTGGGAAAAGCCAGCAGTGGCAGAGTGACAAATCGGGGATGTTTGGGGGCTGAGTTACCTGAGTGATTTGACGTTTCACCAAAAATCCTGCACGAGATAAAATGCATGAGCAGAGCATTGTCTTGGTGAAGCTGTCAATCACCAGCTGTTCATAGCTGTGGCTTTCTGAATCATCCAAATAGTGTCTGCAGAGGAATATTCAAGCTTAAAGCAAAATTTGATGCAGTTTCATTGGTCTACCTGCTCAGTCATTTTGAATGCAATAGCCAGACAGTACACATATTCACTTAACTGTGTCTACCATCCCCGCTAACTAGTACAGTGAAGCCATCAATGTTCACACATACACCTTCCAGTTCACTCTCCTTGGCTGCTGAAGGAGCCAGGGAAATGAGGAAGTAATTGTTCTCAATTTTAGCTGCTCGCTTGACCATAAGGACAGGGTGAACTTAAAGGAGGTACAGAGCTGATTGTGTTAAGTCAGCTCCTGGAACGCCAAGCAGGGGGCGGGGGGTAAAAAGACCACAACCACAGCATGAGGTTTAAGAGCCAATCAGCCATACTATCACGGCTGTCCACGAGCTCTAGTAACCAGTCCTTGGTCAGATCATCACCTAGTATAGCCCCTGAGCCAAAGCAATGCCACCTTCCTTCTGGAAGTTGCTTGCTTGCTCGCCCTATAAGAACCCAGCCTTAATGGCGCAACCTCATTTGCAGCCATTTTGGCACTCATGTGTCTCCGGAGGCACCCCGAGAGTTCGCCCCTGCGCAGGTAAAACTTTGAAACTTTGGCCAATAAAACACCTCTGACTACCCAGCAGTCTCCGACCCTTCTTGCTCGCAAGGACAGGATGTAACAGCTGCCAGATTACATCAATGTTATGC